ATATCTTGATTTGCTTTAGTTGCTGAAAAACAGAGAAGCTGTTCTTCAGATTTTCTTTGTGTCAGGAATATTAATATAACAGCACCAACCTTACTGAAGATGAGATGACCCATCATAATCCAAATTGTTCTAACACACAAATACTTCTGTATGCAAAACTTTTGCTGTTCCAAAAGATTTGTACATAGACAAGTATTTGCAGTAGCATAGCAATTAAATTGCGGAATCTTTCTTTGGTATTTATTATTTGCTCAGTCTGGGAGAGATTTTCAGAGCAATTGCTTTTAACTCACAGAATTCAGATCAGGAACTAAAGTTTGTCAAAAGTAAGTTGTACTCAAATCTTGGATTTTGGTTTGAACTTCTATAACTTCATTATATCTTGGTTAAAACTTTGCTGTGCTTAAACTGAGTTTTGACTTCCATTCTCAGCATCCCTTTGACTTGTTCATGGTTTTTACTGGGTAAGTTTACTCAGAGTCAAATTTGGTAGCTTCTGGATAAGAATGAGGAAAATGATCAGTGAAGCAGGCATCCTTCATAGGCTTCTGTATGAGACTGGCAACCAGTTCTTCATCTGATGACAGCCTTGAAAGGGTGGTTCATCCACCATAATACAAAGTGTGAGAGGAAGGTCCTACTTTACCACTTTGTACAGCCAGAATAATGCAGCCTTTACTGAATTATTCCAACTTCAGTACAACAACTCCTCCCCCTCCAGAGTTTCAGGGTAGTAGGTGAGATTTCAAATGCACAGAAGTAAACTTGTTCAAAAATGGACTTTTCCTCCCATTACTTTCAGCTGTAAAATGTAAGTGAAGGCAGAGGGCACTTGGTTAAATTTTGTCTCAAGTTTCAATTTGAAATGTTGAAATGGAAAAAAATGTGCATCTTCAGTAAAATTTAAATAATTTGGTGTTTTTAAAATTATTTCTTTTTAAATATTCACCAGGGAAAATATTTCAAAATTATGGGAAAGAGTTTTTTTATGTGGTTTTTATGGGGGAGGGGAAGGATTTTTCCACTTTGGAATGTTAAATTTTATTCTTTGTTTTAGGAAGCCAAAAACATAACTAAAATCATCATTTTTCTGCTGCCAAATCTTTGAAACTTTATTTTATGTCATTAATATTTCTCAGTGAAACTTTTGACTGGCTTTATACTGAAAGTAGTGCTGTGGGAATCAGAATTTTGAATGTCCTGACTGGTGTTCAATTAAATATTAGTATATTTTCTTTTGTTCCTGTACCTGTTTCCATTAATTTTCTTGTTGAACTTAACTGGTAAGGGAAAGGACTCTAAAAGACAAAAGGGACTGTATGTTACTGCAAGTGATATCCAAAAAGTCCAAACTTTCTTGGATTAAAGGGTGAAACTCCACTGAAGTCAATGGAGCTTTAAATTTTGGCACCACCAGAAAATTTGTCCTGTGGAATGAAAATGCATTGTCACATTTTGAATGCTCTTCATTCTCATGACAGACATTACTAAAGGAGTCTCTTTTCCAGCACTTATACATTTATTATTTTCAAAACCCATTTCCTCAGAGAGGTCAAAAGCTCTTCTCACCACCACAGGGAGGCCATGGGAATTTCGGCATTCTGAAGTACCATAGGTATCCACCTGCATACAAAATGTTAACACCTTTTTTTAGTTTTTCTTTTTAACCATGCTTTGTTTTTGTCATGAATCAAAAGTGGTAGAATCTAATTATTTTTTGATTGGAAGGGCAAACATTGCAGCAGGAAAAAATGTCACATTAAAATCGGATTATTTCCAACTAATCCATTAAAGAAATTCCCCTTATCCCTGATTGCTCTGTGTCACTAGTGTGATGCTATAGTACCATTTTTATACCATGTTTCTGGCAGTTTTCAGTATTATCTATGCAGAAAATAGATTGCAGATCTCTTCCAAAAGCTAAACATTTTTTCCTGCTTGGAAAAGTTGGAGTAAGTTGGAGTAAAGTAAAGTTGGAGTTTTTCCTCCTTGCCTGTATTGCTATTTTTACTTAACAGAAGACAATGAAATTGTTTATCTTTACTTTTGTCCATTACTTTAGAACCCTGAGATCCAAACAAGACCTCTTTGTACAAAGCATTGGGGAACTGCGCATCTGCAAATAACCCCTGCCTGAAGAGCTTTTGGACTATGGCCCCACTCCTGTAACCTGGAGCTACTTGGTTGTCCTGTGGACAGGTTACAGACCTGGGGCTTCACACATGGGGTGAAGAATGGGGGAAGGATGCTTGGTTGTCCTGCCTGTATGAGCAGGGAGTCTTGGGAATTAAATCCCTTGTCCCAGATCACACAGGAAATCTGTGGCTGACCCTGAGGTGGAAGCCAGATATCCTGTGTGGTACCCTCATCCCCTGGCCCATCCATCCATCCTTGCTCCCCCATGTCATATTGGCCTCCAGCGCAGAAACTTCTAACCAAGGAATTTTCCATTGAGTTCTGCTGCTGATGAGTTTCTTTCTCACCAATAGGTGGAAACTGACAGCCCGGTTTCTCAGGTGACACAAGGAACGGTTCTGCCATCCCAAATGAGGCAGGAAAAACATCACGCAGAACAAGGAATTTTCCATAAGAAACTGTACCATAGCAACTGAAAAAGACGTTGAAGCACATTATACTTTCTCAGCTTGTTGCAACCTGTGCTTTGATGCAACAGGACATCAGAAAAGTGAAGACTTGGGTTTTTTGTTTTTTCTTTTCCTCACTTATTTCTTTGGCCAGGAGAGTGATTGCTTTAACTGCTGCTGGTTGATCATAATGAATTTATTGCAAAATTGTGTAACCTTTCCACATCCGTCTCCAAAGTCTGCCAGAGCCTATGTTCTGGCATGCATTGTCATGCTATAGCTGGGGAGGGTGAGGGGACTACATCTGTGAACTTCCATAAGAGATCACAAGCTTCTGAAATTGTAGGTTAACTAACTAAATAGGATGCAGAAATATTTGCAACAGGCTGACAGCTGTGCAATATGTGGCATTAAAATAAAGTTGAGTCACTAAGAAGTAGTGATATAGAAGCTAGCAAAAGTTTCTGTCTTTTTTTCTAAATATATCCCAAATGTGATTGTCTACTCTAACAGAAAGAAAATCACTATGCAGAGACAAGTGGCTTGCGTCATTGGTTTGGATATGGACAAAGTCTTGCTATATTAGGCACAGTATTTATTTAAAATGTTGCATAAAATCTTTAAGTGAAGTCTTTGTGGGGCAGATGTTTGTCTTGTTCTTGATCAACTGTAAAAGGCTATTCAGAATGAAGAAATCTAAATTAACAGGATCTAAAATGTTTAAGTGAGAAAATGGGGAAATCTGATTAGCAGTACTAATCAACTGAGGTCTGGAGATTCCTCTTCTTTTCAACTGGAGCAGTTTAGTCATCTTCCTTTTCCTTTTTTTTTTTTTTTCAGAGTTCATGCTGTACCCTGCCCATATTTTATTTCTTCACTGTGTTCCTTCTCAGTAAGCTCCACAATGTGGATCATCCTCTCTGCATATATATATATCTGCAGATATGAGTTACTAGGTGGAGAATTGCAGCATGTAGCAAGCACTTTTTCTGTGTATGTACTGTCTTTTTGTTCAAACTCACAACCTGTCCAATATCTGAGGTATTTCTGAGGCAAGATGTCCCTTTTTTCTGTGAGACTTCTTGTTTCAGGTTCTCCTCAGTGTCAGTGACAAGTCTGTCACTGCTTTGGGAAAGTTATATCAGAATCCTGCAGAGCTGGACTTGAACTAAAAGCACTGTTCTGGAGCAGGAGTTGTCATAGCTAACTGTGACTGTCTTTAACTAGGGCTTCCAGCAAGGTCTACATGCGAAAGCACAGTACTTTTTGTACATTAGCAGGGATAATGCAGGTTTTCAAACCACTTGCTCCTAGCTACTGTCCTAGCTTTCAACTTGGTTAATTATGGGCAAAAAACTTTTTAAAATAGTATCAAGAAGAAATTTTTCCTGATGATGTTTCTCAGGTGCTTAGCTAGAATAGCCCTCATTAGGATGCAATTTTCCGTTTTCTTTAGTTTCCACATCAACTGGCATTTCGAATGCCTACTTACCACAATATGAAGGCAAGTGATTCCAGTAGCTCCTGTTCAGAAATCTTTTTTTGTTTACATCTATGAAGGTGTGGAAAGGGAGCTACTGCAAGTAGTTTTGAAGTGTTCATTGTGGTATGTTAATCCCTGAGGACCTGTTTATTTTTGTGCAGGATAGTACATAAAATACTGTAAACTAGCAACATACAGACTGGAATAACCAAAGAATAAGGGCACTTAGCTAGCAGCAGACCTCATGTTTTCTTTTGTTCATGGCAAGTCTTTTTTCTGTGTATGTCTGTGTTTTAAATTAGGGCATGCTGTGGGTTTCTTAACTGTTTTCTTATCAGCTTCTCTTTGTGACTGTTAATCTAGAAGAATTCCACTCACTTTCCCAGCTCACATTTTGTGAGTGAGGATTACTTTCATGACATACAAGACAACACTATGTTCTTTTTTGAGTGTGTATAATACACTTTAAGGAGACCAGAATGTAAAATTACAAGGAAATATTTATTGAAGCCAAATCCGTATCTGAGGAGTTTCCACTTGAGCATTTGAAATTAAGAAAGTGATGGCAGCAAGGAGTTTGTGCCATTGTTTTCAAAATATACCAAATAAGAACCTTGGCGAATACGTCACTCTGCACTTTGTAGCTTTGTGACACTGTTCAAATAGAAAGTAATTAATATTTAAAAAAATCACCACCACTATTATGGAACATCTAGATATGCATTTCTAGCCTTATTTTCTAGGTAGGGGAAACAATCAGAAAGGGATTCACTTGCCAGAAGCTCATAAGAATTGTTTGCCAAAGCGCTGATGGCAAATACCTTTTCATCTATGTGTGCGTGTCTAGGTTTCAGAAGCAAACTATGTTGCCTCTATGTAGTTTTTCTGTAAGGAAAAATGCAAGTATCAGTAGTGGTTATTTTTGCAGTTAGAACCTGTTATATTCTTGGAACATGTGGCTGAATTACAGTTCTCTTACTGAAGAAAATGTTACAAGGGAAGAATAAATGTGACAAGCAATGGTGAAAACAACACACTAACCTATAAGTTAGTTGACAGTTGTACGTGGGAAAACACAAGAAAGACTACCCAAGAAGTACTGACATTGTTTATAAACAATTGTTACTTTCTGACCCTTCGTCTTCTATTTAAAATTCTGACCAGAAGAACAGGCTAGAAATAGAGTCCGGGAAACTGCTTGAGGGCCATTTTGTGGATGTTGGACTATCAAAAGGCAAATTATCCTCCAGTTTCGCAACAGACTTCAGACAGGTCTCTCCTAAAAGCAGGTCTGTGCTTGCTCTCCTGCTGGTGGTGGTCTTGCAGGGGGCAGTAATTAATAAACACTGCTTGTAAAGTGGTCTGTTAATGTACCATGGTAACGTCTTGTCTGTAGGGTTAATAATAATGCTTTGTGTATCTCTGTGTTTTAGCTAAGTGCAGACTGGGTGCTTACCAAAGTACAACACCCACTTCCTTAGCTGCAACTGTCAGTTCCAGCAACTTGAGGCAAAAATCTAGCTGTTCCATTAGTAACAATAAAAATTATGGCAATTTTTAATATTTCCGTTACTGATAAGCACACCAGGAAGTCTGCCATTCAGTTCAACAAATGTAGCAGCTGTTTGTGTTGGTTACTGCTGCTCAAAATGTTTCCCAAGTACATGACTATGTAGGCATGGTATTTATTGCTCTGGGAGGGAACTTGAACTTCAGAAGAAAGGGGAGAAAAACCCTACATTTTGTCTATCTTAGTTCTGTGGATACTACAGTTGCTGTAAATATCATGGTGTACAGTAGTTGGAACAAAACAGTTCTGGTTTTTAAGAGCAATAGTCATAGAGATGGTAGGTGAGAAAAGAACTTTTCTGCTTCATGCATTTTTGGTGTCTTGCAGAGATTGCTAGAATTACATTTGCATTAATTTCAGTCTGCAACAAGTACTGAAGAGGATTCAACTGAAAGTACTTCCCAAATATGAGGAGCACAGGGGAGAAAGAGAACTATGTTTTATAGTGACAGCTATTAAGCTTTTACAGAATATCATATATATGTACTAGCTATCAACATAAAATTAACTGGTAATAATTGGTCAGAGCTGACAACTCAGTCTGCTTGTGAGTGTAATACTCTTCTTTAGGTGACATTCATTATACTGACATCGTATGTCAGATTCTGAATAAAGTTCATTCAGCCATTTCTGCCGTTCTTGTTTACCCTGGTATGTATATGTGCTGCCATCAGCAAGAGTTTATGTCTCAGCAAAGACTGGGTCTGTGTGCTTTGAGAAATACGTGTCTCAGTTATCTGCCCAGTGGCCACTTCTCCAGCAACAGCGGGACTGTGGGAGGGCATCCTTTGATTGAATCATGCCTGGTGTTTTCTTCGTTCTTGGAAACTGACTGGAACAAAATGTTCAAAGCTCTTTCTTCCTCTCTTTCCTCTTTTTTTTTTCCCCTCTCTCTTTTTGTTTTTCAGTTCCATGCCTCAAAAGGCTGTAACTGGGTTCATTATTGTGTGATAAATCAGCAGTAAACTTCTATGCATTTTGCTTCATTTGGGCAGCTCCTGTTCCTTAGTGACAGCTGCTTGGCTCAGCAGACTGTAATTATCAAGTCAAAACCAAGATGCTTTTAGGTAGTGAAAACATATTGGCAGAGACTGAACTTGTCCTGAACTTCGTCATGGGTCACAGCTTTAAAAGATACCATTTGTTGTTGTTTTGTCACTGTTGGTACAGGGGGTTTGACAGTTATCACACTGGACTATGTGGGAAGCTGTTATCCTAAAGGAGTACAGGTCTTTCTTTTTCGTTAGATGCCGACATACTGTGTAGTTAACTTTTGATTAATGTATCTGTGTTCATTCTTTTTCTCTAAAATAAAGTTTTATTGATATGTGGGAGGGGATTTACTGGGAGTTTACAAATAAGCCTTTATTTAAACAATATCTAAAGGAAGCTTTGCCCAGAAACAGATGTATGGGTTTGTTGTCCATGGTGGAACCAAGGCACTCTCTGATGCTACTTTAAATGTACCTCCATTTGACAGACCGGCTACGTCTGTGACTGATGCCTCACTGCCCATGGCCATGGAAACATACAGGACATGGCATTGGCTCTGGTCTGCTAAAGGCCAAGGGGCCCTGGGCTGCGTGTCGTGTAGACCAGTTGCAAGGGGCTATACATAGTGGAGACCTCTGCTCCCTCACCAAACTTGTTTTAGCAAAGAAGATGTATTCCTCTTCATTTGTCTGAAATGTAGAGAAACATAATTTCAGTGACAGATAACACAATCCAGAGCTCAAGTGAGTGGAAGGAGATTTCTTATATTCTTTGCTAGATGTGTTAGCTTTCCTGTTATGTGAAAATAACATGCAAATCCAAGAGAGGAGAAGAGAAAATACATTACTTTCTTTTGCAAGAGAAATTACCTGTAAAGTCCTCCTGTTCCCATTGACAAGTCACAGGTTTTCTTTTCTCTATATATTATGAGCCTGGGTTTTCTATCAGGACAATTAGAATAGGCACTCATCTTGCTGCTATTTAAAAAGCATTTAAAGTGTTCTCAAATCTGACTGGGCTGTAGTTTAGTGTAATTTAGAGAGCAGTTCCAAGTAGGAGCACCATTGTTTGCATAAGCAAATCTCAATGCAAGGAGCATGGCACAGTCTCATTTGCATCCTTCCCTGGGATTTGGGGGGGTTGTCAGACCTTGAAAAATGATGAGAAGTCACCCAGGCTGTAAAAACCTCATGACCTTTACACATGGAATAATTTGTGTTGTATAAACATACACTTTATGGTATTAGTACTTTGGAGGACAGAAGAACCAGGATACCAGAGGAGGTAATGTGTGGTCTGTAGTAAGCAGATTTTTTCAAGCTTGAAAAGTTAAGCACGTGTTATGTTAATGTGGAAACAGAGAAAGATTTTTTTTTCCCAGTGCATTTGCAACAAGACAAAACAAAAGCCATCTTTACTTTGCAATTTTTGAGGATCCTAAAAAAGCCTCACCATGTTCAGTCTTGCAAACCCTTCATGACTTCATTTGGTTGACCTATAAGTAAGAACTTGCAGGTCTTCTATTTGAAGCTAGTACAATATAATAATCTTTTGACTGCGTTGTGGCTGACGTAGAGGTATCTGTCACCCAGGGATAAAGATGAATTTTCTGGGTATGCCTTGCACTCATATACTGCCAATTACATCATAACATTGGAATTCTGAAACAGTAGCAGAGGCCAAGGGGGAAATGCCCAATAGGGACATAGGGCTCTGTATATGGCATGCCCTAGCAGAAAGGTGTGCCGGCCTGTCAGTGGAACAAAAGCAGAACAAGTGCCTCACCATGGAAGAAGGCTGAAATGCTGAAGGAGAGCAAGTCTGTAAAAGGGAGTAACCGCTTTTTCAGGTTCGTTCATCTTTTATAATGTTTTGGTCATCTCTCCTGTCACATGGGGCTGTGGGACAGTATAATTGTTAGTGCTAACCCCTTCTGTGTTCCCAGAAGACAGAGGGCAAACTGAGGTTCTTTCCTTGTCAGTGCATAGGAAGACTTGAGACTTGTTTTCTCTTTTGTCTGGTGATTTTGTTTTTCAGTGAATAATGTGGGAATCCAATCAAAGAGTGAGGAAAGTTTCATATTTTGTTTGTTCGCAATGTCCAATGCCTTTTTGTGTCATTTTTGGGTACTCCTCAGAGACAGACAAACCCCAAACTTTTCTCTGTGTTTATAGTCCACTTATGGCAAAACTCAGGAAAGGAGCAAATAACCATGTAGCAGCAAAGCCTTAACTGTATGCAGTTAAGGAAGCGGGCAGAGACTTAACCTTCTGCTTAGGAGTTTACCTCAGTTGGCCCAAAGAAAGGAAACTATAAGGTAAAAAATGCATAAGATTCAGCTTTCCTCACAGAAAGCCACACAGTGTACTGCAGCCTGATAGAAATGTAGAAGGAAAAAAATATTAGGAAAAGGGTAAATAATATGCTCAGAAGTGATCTATAAAAGACTGAGTTCTGTCATGTTCCTGTGATGTTTTCTCTAATGTTCCCTTTTCTTTCTATGCATAATTAGCTGCAACAGAGCAGACCTAGCCATCTAGCATGGCTGATCAGATGCTATGCTATCTTTCACTAAAATAGTTCATCAAAAGGTAAAGACTGGATATGTGCTTAAGTTTTATATAAGGGGATAGAATTTGAGACTGTGAGCCAAGAGTACGGTTTATTCCTTCACAGGCTTGAAAGTTCCATTTACTTTTCATATTTCTTTTTGAAAGGCCACCAGTAAAAAGCTTCCTCATGTTGAGGTACAACATTATTTCCTTTTCCTTTTAAAATAAGAAGACAAAAAGCAAAGCAGAGAAAAGTACATCAAAACCAGAGCAATCTCCTTTGAATTTCACCTTTATACTCACTTCCACCAGGCTTGAATATGACTCAGTCTCTGAATGTAAGTTTCTTTTAGGTCCTACTTCTCAGACTGGTGTCCTGGGATGCTTGTACTGGGCTGTGTGTTTTTCTGAAAACAGAGATAGAAAAGAGTTAATATTTTGAAGACAGTATTTTTATTAGCCCTTCCCCCTCTGCAAATGTCTATTATATGAGACATGCTACATGGTACTCCCCCATCCTTTGCCAAGTACTTCTGTTTCTATAGCAAAGATCTCTAAAGGTTAGTATCATGCAGTTCATCATCTGAATTAAGAGAAGGGTGTTGATGGTGAGATCATAGTCTCCATGGAAGATGGACCAGATTTGCCACTGTAAAATAATACCAGCAGAGGTTTTATACAATAGCCTTTAAGTTGTACAATCATTAATCGTTTGGAAGAAGTGCACTGAGATTGGCATTTACAAATTAAGTGCATACATATCTGCAAAGGCAGTGTTTTGCCAAAATTCAAATACAGTTTTCTGCTTAAAGCAGATTTAATATACTGTGCTGAAAAGCTTTTAGGAGGCTGGAAGCAGCATAGAAAGGGAAATGCAGGGTGATTAATACCTGCTACATATTCTGAAAATAGAGGGCCAAATCTAGCTTTCAGCTATTCTGATATATTCCAGTTGTTTTAACATGTAAAAGATCATTTTTAGGTTGCTAAGGCTTGAAGGCCTTGTGTATCTTAGTTTTAGTATGCAAGGGCAAACTTATGTATGGGTAAACTGTCAATTAATTACTATTTTTTTTCCCGAAGGGTGAATTTAGCTCATAAGGCTCATGCATTTAAAACAATGGTAGCATTGTTATTGTAATTTATTCTTAAGTAATGTTTATTTGTGTGTAAGGGTCTAACCAAGTATGGCCTTATGTCAAGCTGAGAGAATGTTGGCCAAATAAACCAAATCAATTACAGTAAAAAAAGAGTAAAATCAAAGACCTCACCAGAAATCAATTATTAACCCCAAAAGATAGCAAACACTTGAGTTTCAGCCAAGTGAGAAGCGCCATGCAAGCTATAGCAAAATGAGTTTACAACGGGTAAGAGCTATGGTGCTCCTGCTGCTGTGGGCAGTTGGGAGAGGGATGGGCATCTTTCAAGGACCTGCAGCACTGTGTTACATAAGGAAGCCTAATTCTAACCCAGAAAGATAGAAATTCTGGGGTTTAAAGTATAGATCCTGTGAGGATTTAAGTTGTAGAAGAAGCAACTGAAAGGTTAAGCTGCAGCAATCACAGATTTATTTGATTTTTCATCAGATGTATCTCCAGGCAAGTAAGAAGTAAGTGCCTGGGAATTATGCCATTCCTGTGATAATCAGTGGTTTGCCTTGCATAAATGCCTTCAGTTCTTCCTGGAAGATCACTTCCTATTTAATTTGACCATTAAATATCTCCTTAAGGTCCACTTAGACTCTGATGCCTATGAAAAACCTGACAAATCACTGATGGCTGCTCAAGGATAACTGTTTTACAACTGCTGAATTAAACTGGTTTTTTTTTCAAAGAAGCAAAAAGTCAAAATGCTTCAGAAGCTGTATTTGCACAGGTAATGTGGCAAGGCCCAAATGCCTTTCTGACCTCATTCTGGATCCTCCATATTCAGTTTTCTATAGCCTGTACCAGGACCTTTCATTTAGAGTAGAGTACCTGGGAAGCACGTGTAAACATGCTGTTTATTTGTTTGTGCCTACAACATCTGGGCACCAGTCTTGTATGAGCATTTGTTGCTGCTATATGGTAAAAATTAAACAACAGTAGCACTACACAAAAATATATATATAATAATAAGTAATGTTGTATGTGATAAATACTTCAAATAATCAGAAATATGCAACTGAGCTGGCCTACTTCTGGACCCAGGCAAGGCTGACAAGTTAAAAGGTTATAAAAGGTTACCAAAAAAAAAAGGCGTTGTTATTGGCTTTTATTGCCATGTTAGAGAGTAGATACTTCAACATGCCAAAATTTCTATTCTGGCAATAGCTTGTAGAAACTGTAGAGGTGCTGCTAGTGCATAACCAGATGGCCATCAGTCTAGACTTGCTCTCTGCCCTTCACAGTGATTTTGTATTCTTCTGCTATGGGATTCCATCAGTAATTCCATCCCCCCTTTTATGTGGATGAGAAATGCTGTACAAATTTGGAATACTATCTAAACAATCACTTGGCCATTTACACCTGTTTTTTCTAGCAAGATCTTAGAAATATTTGAGTCTTCACAATTGCAATAGAAATAGTGGGAAAAGAAATTAAGAAACCTGCAAAATATCTTTCTATGGCACCTCATGTCACATCACAAGCTGAGTCTTTTCTATGACTGCTTTTTTCTTATGCAGCTGTGAGTATGTTTATAATATTAGCCTGCCTGTTTGCTTGGCATCTTGAAGGTCTTCATTCCCTTCTCAGAGTCCTGGCACAACAAATTTCATCAGGACTGTTCTACGTGTATACTGCTAGCAAAATTTTGGACAGAATTCTCAAAAACAGACTCAGGAGATGATTTAAGTAGGCATGCAACACAACAGGATTTTCTAGTGTTGGTAGTTCAATGAGTGGTGATGGTGGAGCCTGTCTGCTGTGGCTCTTAGTGTCCATCAAGCAGTGAGACTGTGTTTCAACCTCCCCCTAAATCTTCTCTGCTGTTCTCATGAGGCATGTGGGAACACATTTGAGACTTACAGAACTTATGGTGTTGTAATTGGGTGAGGTGTTCTAGATGAGACACTGTCATGTATACCACATAACTGTGTAATTTTTATGCTCTTTAGGAAACCCAGCCTTAAAAGGACTGGCATAATATATGGATGTGCAGAGATACAGGGAGCTTCCTTCCAGTTAGGAAAAACAACTGGAGACAACTTATTTTAAAAGGTTGTTGAAAATATTCCAGAGAAAAGTCATGAAAACAACTGGAGAGGATGTTTTCCTGGGAGGAGGGACTTCTGTCTCTTTGCCTCTCCAAGAAGAATAAGAAGAGTGTTGATTATGTGTGTTTAATACCAGATCTTAAAAGGCTGCTAAACTATCAGAGAAAGTCTCCTGGAGCCCAAGGGAGGTGCAAGCCAGACAAGTTAATGATTAAGAGACAAAGAAAAAGGCATGCATTTTTATTAGCAATGAAAATGATTACACATTAAAACAAGTGGATAGTTCAGACTTTCAAATCAAGACTGGTGCAGTCACTTTCTGGAGGCAGTCTTCTGCTAAGCACAAGTCATTTAGCTCAGTACTATGCTCTGCAGTGTAGAAGGTCAGCTTAGGTAGTGTAATGGTCACATATGAGGGTAAAATGTTAAGACCTATTGTTTGTGACCAAGGGGAAACATTTTTACTCTGTCACGTTGAATTTTTTAATTATGGGCAGAAAGTTTTTAATAATTTACATGCTAAGTATCCTACTGTCCATGGCTGGATTCAGTCAGTCCAACTCAGTGATTTCAATGTGGTGAGGTGATCCTGAGTTGCCTATTCTGCTGGGACCCATTCCAGAAAGTGGTGTGACCCTCTCTGTTCAGCCTCATCATCAAAGGTAGGTTACCTGGGGAGTGCAGTCTTGTGCCTGCAGATACGTTTTGCAGGATAAGGCTGATGCATCATTTCCAGTGTGACATGATGTTTCCTAGTGAGTGAAATACCTAGAAGTCCAACTCTCTTGGTGGGATGTCTCTGTGACCTTGAAATGACAAGAGAGACTTTTTCTGCAGTATGCTCCTTATTGCCTTCTGATTCCCTGCAGTCATCCATGGGAGCTGCCTGCTTCTAAACGTACAGCTGTGTGGTTATTATTTAACACCACAGCCTCTTTTCAACATTTACCCTTCTTTAATTTGTTGTCTTGCTTCATATTCTATATTTCATTTCTCTCTGAAGTGTTTCAAGTCAGCTTTTAGCTTAATGGAACACATTTTTTGCAGTAATCAGTCAAGATTTTAAACCAGAGATGATATACTCTTAAAAGTACGAATAGCAGGTCAAGTGCAATTTCCATTTAGAATCAAAAGGAGGAAAATATATAGCTACCATTTGAATGTTTGTCTGTGTTTGCCTATGAGACAATGTCGTGAGATGACTTCTTTGTTTATTCCACCTCTTTGGCCAAATTCTGCTTTGTTTCTTCAGTGTAAATCCAGGATAATCTCTTGAATGTCAGCAGAGAGAATTTGCTTTATCCTGACACTAACTGAAATCAGATTTTGACCTGAATTTTCCAGTGCATCTGCTGCTGCAATATCCTCCTACTGAAGATGGTTTCATTATGGCTGGGGCCCTGAGTTTGCTAAATGGATCTTTTCCTTAGCTCATATAACCATCACATCTTATGTGTTTGATTTACTTACATAGTTCTTACATTTAATCTCTGCCCATTTAGTCATATTTACTGTCATTTTTTATTTGTTTAATTACACAATGCAGCTCAAAAAGGTTACAGGGGTGGATAGAGTGTAACAAGTTAAAATGCATTCTGGGCAGACCTCTTCTGCACCTTTCTGTGTCTCAGTTTTGACAGTTTGGTTTACAGAGGGGATTGTTCAGTCAAATGCTTGGCTTATATAAAAGTATTTAACAGCAGCTGTAAGTGTACTGCAGAGAAGTATTTGATATGTTTTTTATTTATTTTTACTCTATTGTCCTTCAGGAGCTTTACAAAACCCCCCTTTGTACTGCTAGGGCCAACACTTGGGTAGGATGGGCTCAAAATGGAGAGGACCCACACAAAATTCAGACTCAGTTCGTCACTGAGTCTTTGACAGCTGTGGAGAGAACCAAGTGAAAAACTGCCTTTACTGGAATTTTCCTACTGATGCCAGTAGGGCAGGTTCTCAGCCCTGTAACCTGTCTCTAGCATTTGTGTACTTTTTAAGATGGTAATACTGGTAACATGGAACTGAACTTTTCTTTCTGGGAAAGGAAGAGAGGCATTCTTCTGGCACTACTGGTAAAGCAGAGGGTAAGAGAATTCCCCAAGAGACAGGGTTGGATGACAAGTTTTTCAGGGGATAGGAACTAGCCCTCGTTTAATAGCAATTATTTTTAAAGCACAGGTCACAAGGTATGCCACACTCCAGAGCTCAGGTGGC